TAGTTACTGATTACTTTTTTCAAGTAACTTGACCAACACTGCATGTAGGGTTTGTCTGACGAGAACGGAGAGAAATGGGGAGTCTGGTAGGAAAATGTTCGTTATCACAAATAACCAGATTCTCTGTTCTGGTCTTACATTCAGCACATGTTGTTTCCCAGCAGAAGAAAAGAGAAGAAAACAACAAGACCGCTCGAGCCTTTGACTCAAGAGGCAGGTTGGAATTAGCAGCCTCGGTATGCACAGTGAATGTCACGCATGTGGGGAGGTGAGGGAGAGGAGAAGGTGAGGGGAGGAGCACTGTGGGAGAAGCTGACTAGGAGGGCTGAACGGGATGTGGAGACTCAGAGCTTAGTGCCCTCCCACAGGGTTGACAGACAGGGGGAGGACCCGCCTTTCACATGCAGAGGTAGCTACTGACAGATGTTTAGATCAAATAATGAGGACTCAAGTCTGTGCTGCAGCAGGTGAAGATGTTATTTGGAAAACATCACACTGCATCATGTCCACAGACTTGTCAGTTACACTTGTCATGCTTTCAACCTCCCGGCACAGCTTAAAGGTGCATGACGAGATTAGATTCCAACGGGCTCCATGGAGTCATGCTAACGGTGGCGAAGTCTGTGCATGTTTGAATTTGCAGCCAACATAGAAATAAAAAGTCTCCTTCCAGCATCAGAGTTCAGATTTCTGTTCAAAGCTGACAGAAGTTGAATCTGCTCTCTGAAACTCACTGCGTGGCCTCGTTTGTTATAATTCAGAGTAAATTCTCAAGATTATTAATGTCCTAATTTTTAATCTGTGGTAAGAAGCTCTCACTGTGAAATATTTTACATTTGCAAATTACTGCTAACTTTGAACTTCAGTGTCATCAAATTACATAAAAGTAGAATCAACTAAAACTTCAAAGCAAGATTTTGAGTAAGTGATGAGGTAGCACGGAGCATGGGGAGAGCTTTATCTTAAACTAGCTTTTTACAGAAGATATGTTTATATTTAATGTATTAGATCAGGGGTGTCGAACTCCAGGCCTCGAGGGCCGCTGTCCTGCAGGTTTTAGATCTCACCCTGGGTCCGCACACCTGAATCACACGATTAGTTCATCAGCTGTGTTGGATCGAGGATCTAAAACCTGCAGGACAGGCGCCCTCAAGGCCTGGAGTTGCCTACACCTGTATTCAAGAGTTGAGGGGAAACAAGAGAAAACTGAGACACAAAGCAGGACTGGAACCCAACCAGCACCATAACCATCATCTTGGTCTTTATTACATTTTTCTTTTTACATGGTATATTGTTCATGCCGTATTTCTATAAAGAGTCGAGTCCATAATCTTGATGAACATTTGTAGAACAAAACCTACAAATTCCAGGTTCTGTGAGATGTCGAGGATGCGGTTGTACTCCAGCCTACATGTTCCTCCTCAGGACCAGACTCTCTTATGTTGAAAGGGCCACATGCCTGACCTGCTTCCCCTCTCCTCTGCTTGACACAGCTCAAGTTGAATCAGCATATACTTTTAGACAAACAAGCTGCTTGTGAACAGTAATGTGGCACCGTGGTGGAACCACATGCACTGGCTTGACTGAACATTTATCATCCTGGAGGCTGTGTTGCCGAACCTAACAGGACTTGGCCTTACGTACAAAGTCCTTGCAGCGGTGCTAAACGTACCAAGCAGAGCTGCGACTGAGCTGTTGGCGTGTATGTACTTTGAACTGGAGCGACGGAGAATGTGCATGTTTGCAGGAAAACACACGCTCAGTAATGTGGGCGGCTGTCAGCCCCGTCACATAGCACAGACCTTTGGCAGGTTCCCAGTAATTAGTGTTGGGTAAACTCATTTATGACCCAGATGGGTCTGGGACCAGTAGGCACAGTGGGTGACCTCTGACCTTCCTGACACAGGATACAATAGGGTTATAGTCACACTTGCTATCTGGACCCTATTACTCTCCATTACTCACATTACTCACCCCTGACTTGGCTGTATCACAGCAAGAGGAGAGGAGGGGGACACCACCTACACAAAGAATGACTCCTTCTTGTTTCCTCTGCTTCCTAAGCCAACTGCATCACCAACCAGATCTGATCTGGAGTCAGAACAATGGACTGATATTATAGCTGTTAAGGTCAAAGCCTCTATCATGCCTAATTTTACCTAAACACATGCAAACAAATACGCAGCCACATCTCTGACCAGAGTCCTTCTCTTCGGCTCAGTCAGTGGCTCCCCATCGCATCACCTCTCATTAGCAACACCCTGGACAACCTCAACAGCTGGCTGTATCATCTGAATGTGTCGCACGTGTGTGTTCAGTGGGAACCAGTCATATCAGCACGTCAAAAACAACAATTTTTCATCTCTCCAAACACACATTCATACACACTGATACAAAAACACAGACGGCACCAGACACAGACGCTTAAAATGGTCATCAGTGACAGATCACGATTGATCCCTGATGGAATCGTGACCGACTTCCGGCCGATGGGCGACCGTAAGGATATCCCCCACCTGTGACGTGGATGATGCAACCACGAGTGGTAACGCCGCTAAGCGGCATTTAGGAAAACCAGTGGTAATGTAAAATGTAACCACCAGGGGGAGCAGTACTTGTATTTCATTGCACTGCTAATGTTCTTGTATAAAATGCAAAATGGAAATGTAAACACACTCGGATTGTGCAACAACATATGGACTGGTTCTTATAAAGCGCTTTTCTACTCATCTGAGCACTCAAAGCGCTTGACACAACTTGTGCATTCACCCATTCACACAAGCACATTTTTCTAAGTGCTTTATAGATAACATTCACACACACATTCATACTCTGATGGATGCATCGGAGAGCAATTTGGGGTTAGTATCTTGCCCAAGGATATTTGGCATGTAGACTTCGGGAAGCCAGGAATCGAACCACCAACCTTCCGATCAGTAGATGACCTGCTCTACTGCCTGAGCTACAGCCACACCATATGTGTGTGTTTGTATTTCTGCCACAAACATGTGGCGCTCTGTTGATCTCTGATGATTAATCAGGTCAGTGAAACGCTGCTGTACAAGTCTCATTTGGCACTGTGCTTCTCACCATTTCCACTGTCCAAATAAATTAGCAGCCATAGTGGTAATGATGACAGTCTTGCTCAGGTTTTCTGCTGCTAATCTTAGTGTGTCACCTTTGCTGTTTAATTTATGCATGTTACTAAAACTGGTGTTAATACACCTGCAAACTTTGTTACATCCTGTTGACTTTATACTTAAAAATGTGCAGAAGTAATTTGTACTTGATGACATAATCTGAGGCAGCACGGTGACGCAGCGGTTAGCACTGTTGCCTCACAGCCACAAG